ACCTGTAACTTCTTTGGGCAGATCTCCCTCTCCAGGCCCAGGAAAAGCAACTAAAGAACCTACAAAAGATCAAAAAAAATCAGCAAAGGTGGGGATTTATAAACCACCGAAAACTCCAAGATGAACACAATTGCGTGGAATTGCCAAGGGGCGGGAGCCACCTTGACGAAGGAGCATCTCAATGAATTGTATTACTGTTTTTTACCTAAGTTTTTATTTCTCTCGGAGACCAAAAACAATCGGAATTTTTTGCAAGATGTGCAAGTTTCTTTTGGTTATGACCATCTTTGTACCGTGGACCCGGTCGGTCGAAGCGGCGGTCTAGCTTTGTTTTATATGGATGATCCCTCGGTTTGTATTTTATATGCGGACGAACATATGATCGATATTAAAACAAAACTTGAAGGACATGATATCTTTATGACTTTTGTATACGGAGACCCTGACGTTAGATATCGAGATTTGGTATGGGAACGCTTATCACGTATGAGTACCACTAGAAGTGGGGCATGGTTTATGATAGGCGATTTCAATGAGCTCACAGGCAACCATGAAAAGAGGGGAGGAAGACGACGTTTAGAAAGCTCTTTCCTCCCTTTCCGAGTCATGTTAGAAAACTGTGGGATGCTCGATTTCCCATATAAAGGAAACTCTTTTTCATGGGTTGGAAAAAGAAAAAATGGAAAAGTTAAATGTAAACTAGATAGAGCTGTGGCAAATGAAGACTGGCACGCCCTTTTCAACCACAGTATCGTGGAATACCTGCAACTATGGGGGTCGGATCATAGACCAGTCCTCACAAAAATCCAATCCACCACCCGAAAAACAAGGAAGAACTTCAGATTTGATAAGAGATGGATTGGGAAACCGGGCTTCAAGGAAGCGGTAACCTCAGGATGGGGATCTTTTGATGAAATTCCAGTCCGGAATTTTCACCAAAAAATTAACTCATGCCGGAACAAGATTAGTACTTGGAAGAAAAATAACCCAACAAACTCGGCTGTTTTGATTAAAGAATTAAAAAACAAGATCGACCTTGCCCAAGATGACGACAATGCCACGACTGAGGAATTAGAAGACCTAAGAAGACAGTTGATTCTGGCTTTCAAGGAAGAGAATACATTTTGGGAACAAAAAAGTAGGGATCAATGGCACAAACATGGTGACAGAAATACAAAGTTCCACCATGCCACCACGAAACAACGCAGATCACAAAATCGGATTATAAGCATTAAGGATAAGCACGGGAGATTGGTAGAGAGTGAAATCGAAGTAGAGAATGTGGCTATTCAATACTTTCGGGACCTCTTCTCTACCTCTTCACCATCTGAGGTTGATTCCTCCTTAAGATTCATTTCAGAAACGGTGTCTCAAACCGACAATAGGTTACTCTTAGAGGAACCGTCGGAACAGGAGATTAGAAGAGCCCTCTTTGAGATTAACCCGGACAAAGCTCCAGGACCGGATGGCATGACTAGTAAGCTCTTTCAGAAATTCTGGAGTGAGATGAGACAAGATATTATTAGACTTGTACGGGATTTCTTTGCGACTGGAAGCTTCGACCCAGCCTTGAACCAGACCAATATTTGCCTCATCCCTAAAAAGAAGAAGCCCCGAGATATGTCCGAGTACAGACCTATTAGTCTCTGCAATGTTAGCTATAAGATCATATCTAAGCTCCTATGCAAGAGACTTAAGAGGCTGATGCCAAGACTGATTTCAGAGACACAATCCGCTTTCGTAGCAAAACGTTTGATCACGGATAACATCCTGATAGCACAAGAGAATTTTCATGCCCTAAGGACAAATCACCGATGTAGAGTGGATTTTATGGCTATTAAAACAGATATGAGTAAAGCCTACGATAGAGTGGAATGGAGCTTCCTGACTACCTTGATGTTAAAGATGGGCTTTGATGCACGACTGGTTGACCTCATTATGTGGTGTGTCACATCGGTCTCATATCAAGTCCTTGTAAATGGACAACCAAGGGGTCGGATCCTCCCAAGAAGGGGTCTGAGGCAAGGAGATCCTTTATCTCCCTTCTTGTTCATTTTGTGTACGGAAGCTCTGATCTCGCTTCTTCATGGAGCAGAAGCGGAACAAAAGATTTTGGGACTCCGTGTGGCGCAGGCGAGCCCAAGGACCTCCCATCTTCTCTTCGCTGATGATAGTCTCTTCTTCTGCAAGGCAGAAGTTAGCCAATGTAAGGAGATTATGGACATTATTGATATCTATGGGAAAGCATCGGGGCAAAGACTAAATGCGGCAAAATCCTCGATGTTCTTTGGGAACCGTGTGGATTATCACCGAAAACAAGAGATAAAAGAAACTTTGGGTTTTTCGACGGAAGGAGGCATGGGAATGTACCTTGGATTACCCGAAGAGATTTGCGGCTCGAAAACAAAAGTTTTTTCCTATGTACAAGATCGACTGAATGGAAGAGTGAACAATTGGTCATCGCGACTACTGTCCAAAGGAGGGAAAGAGGTTCAGATTAAAGCTGTGGCTCAAGCTGTTCCGACTTATCCAATGTCGTGTTATTTGATCCCACAGGGCATCACTGATAAACTACGGAGCACGACCTCAAATTTTTGGTGGAGCTCGAAACAGAATTGCAGAGGGTTACATTGGATTGCATGGGACGAGATCTGTACCCCTAAAAATAGAGGGGGACTAGGTTTTCGCGATCTCCATGATTTCAATTTAGCACTTCTTGCGAAACAATTATGGCGTTTGATACATTACCCAAAGTCCTTACTAGCGCGCGTTCTAAAGGGGAGGTATTTCCTACATACCTCTCCATTGGATGATCGTCGGACATACTCACCTTCTTATGGTTGGCGTAGTATCATGGCAGCAAAACCCCTACTCATTTCGGGGTTACGGAAGAGAATTGGTTCGGGTCGGGATACGAGGGTTTGGTACGATCTTTGGGTCCCTGACACAATAGCACGACCCCCTAGACCTGCTGATCATATTGTCTATAGATTACCTCAGCTCCCGGTTCAGGCCCTTATTAGGAATGATACCAAGGAGTGGGATATACAACTTTTACGAGAGTATTTTCAGCCGGATGACATCCCCCTTATTCTTGGGATCAAGCCCTCCTGCTCTGATGCCCCGGATGGATTTATTTGGGACCTCACAAAAACATGAATATATTCAGTTAAAACCGGTTATGAGCTACTCCAATCGCACAAGATGAAACCTACACAGGATTTGGTTCTTGAACCAAGTACCACTGGCCTCCTGAGCCATGTGTGGAGTCTAGAGGCCCCAAGTAAGATGAAGCATTTCTTGTGGCAGTCCGTCGCGGGTTGTGTGCCAACAGCAGAGAGGCTATCTTACAGACACCTGGGCACCGATAGGAGTTGTCCTAGATGTGCTGGCCCAGTGGAGTCGATAAATCACCTGCTTTTTGAGTGCCCCCCAGCCTTACAGGTTTGGGCTTTATCGGACTATCCGTCCACTCCGGGTGTCTTCCCGAGTACATCTATCTACCAAAATATGAATTTTCTATTTTGGAAAAGAAAAGAGGTGGCTCCTCGGAGTCCACAATTCGATATATTCCCGTGGATTTGTTGGTACATATGGAAGGCGAGGAACGACAAACTCTTCAATGGGAAGTCCGTTTCCCCGATGGATACCCTCCAACATGCGTCGCTAGAGGCAGAATGTTGGAGGAAGGCAAACGTGGAGGAGGAAGACGTGGAAATTCATGTCATATCTTCTCCTATAGAGATCGCGACACAGCCCCCTAGGTTCCCCCGAATCCCTACCTGTCAAATTGATGCTTCATGGATCAATAATGGCAGTGTCAGTGGCCTAGGATGGAGTCTAAAGGATCAAATGGGCTCTGAACGTTTCGGACTACGAGCATGTAAAGGGAGTAGATCTGCTCTGCATGCGGAGGTGGAAGGCCTACTCTGGGCAGCTGCATGCTTGAGACAAATGGGGGAAACCTCGGTACGGATTGAGACGGACTGTTCGGACCTAGTAGACATGACGACCAACCCGGAGGAATGGCCAGCTTTCGCGACGGAGATCGAAATGCTCCAGCACCTACAGGAAGGTTTTGAGGATGTGAGCCTATCTCATATCCCCCGAAGCAGGAATGGACGAGCGGATGCACTAGCCAAAGAAGCAAGGAGAAGAGGATACATTTTTACCCATATAGATCAGACCAGGCCACACGGAGATAATCCTCGGAGTATCGACTCGTATGGTCACCACTTGATCTAACTTATCATGGGAGGTTGACAAAAAAAAAAAAAAAACAAGTTTTTCAGTGCAAAGACTTTATCATAGATCAAACAATATGATGGACATAAAGAGAGACATGACTCTTCAAGTCTCTAAAGTCTAAAACATAATGTAGTGTTTCAACTTTAAAGTCATTTTTTCCAGCACTCTTTTGTCATCAGCATATGCTCTTATAGTCCGTATCATATAGTACTGGCCACTTCTATTCAAACGTGACACTTCTTCATCTAACCACCATATTGGTTTGTTTGAATACTAAGAATGAATAATTAACATATGAATCAATTCTTTGTCTCTCTAGTGACTGTCAGTTTACTATGAAAATTATAATATTTAAAACCTTGGATTTTTATACAAACCAATCAACCACTAAAATTCACATGTCGAATCCATCATTTGTTGTAGATATCAACACATCCAATGTATCAAGAAGAAAAAAATAAACAAGATCTTTAATGTTCCTCCTCGAAGAATCGCATCAAATCTTTCTTTCAGAATAAAACTAATCTTGATTACCAAAAAACAAAAATTAAAACTAATCTCCAGAATAATTAATCTATCTATAACCCATCACACACATACTACTAAATCGTGTCTCAACAAGACACAAGAAGTCAAAAGTAAGAACCAAGGTGACAATATCGTAATTAAACAGGAAACTTAAGGGCATTGTGTCACTCTCTTCACTATATAAACTTCCTCTTGTCCAAAATCTCAAATCCATCTGCTTCATTGCTCTCTTCCTCTCTTACACACTTTCTCATCGAACTCACTCGCAAACCGGAATTAAAAAAATGGCGGGAGGTATCGCAAAATGCAGCAAGATCAGACACATTGTGAAGCTGAGACAAATGCTCAGACAATGGCGCAGCAAGGCGCGAATGTCGTCTGCCAGACGCTGCGTACCGTCGGATGTACCTTCAGGACACGTGGCGGTCTACGTTGGGAGCAGTTGCAGGAGATTCGTGGTGCGTGCGACGCATCTTAACCACCCGGTTCTCAGGAATCTCTTGGTTAAGGCCGAGGAAGAGTTCGGTTTTGCTAACCACGGTCCGTTGGTTATTCCATGTGAAGAATCGGTTTTCGAGGAATCGATTCGGTTAATAAACCGGTCAAGTCGGTTCAATTGTACTGATGATTTAAAGAAAAACCGACATGGTAGCACTAGGAGTAAGCTGGAGCTTTTGATGGAAGCTCGGCCGTTGCTTCATGGTGTCTCTGACAAGGCTATTATCTGGTGACTCATCTGATCCGGGTCTATGGTGGCGGATACACAGGAGATGGCCGTGAGAGGTGGATGAGTCGTCCCTGGTTCGAATCCGAGTTCAATAGAGAATTGCGGTCTAGTTTTTGGTATTGGCTTGTAAAACTGATTTAGCAATTTCCATTTCATTTATTTATTCATTTGTGATTTAACTTTGATATTTGCTGTAAATTTTATACAGCAAATATTCCTTTATATTAATTCCTTCATTGTTCTTTTTCCATTGAAATTTGTTTTAAAACTTTCCGAAATAATTAATTGTTGAATCTTAAACCCGGTAATAAAAGTTTAGACTATAATAATCAGATATTAGATTATATTAAAAGAGTCGTTTAATGAAGTGTAAGTTACAAGCCAAATGACTCGTAATTGGCTGAATTCGTCGTTATAAATACAAATTCGTTGTCAAAACTATTTCTCTCGGTCTTCTTCTATGTCTTTCCTCTTAGGCGTTCGTTGTGTGGAGAAGTCGTTGGTTTGTCATTTCTGACTCGTAATTGGCTGAATTGTTAGTAACTAGATTGCAGCGCCGTAGTAGGGGCTTCGACCCATTTTTTCTCTGACACTTGATGGCGTGTGTCAGATTGTCGTGCCGAGTTGGTGAATCGACTGCCACGAGGTGATCAAACTCGTAATGGGCCACGATTTCTTTTCGGGTTTTATCTTTATGATTAGGCCGAATAAATTATTGGGCCGTGATATTAGTCGGGGACATATCCAACATTAATGTTGTCTAACAGTGACGCATAGATTGCAGATCATTGGTAATTAATTAGTCATTTTGGATCAAGAACGATTTATTGGACTAAACGCACGTACGAGATGCCGTATTAGATTAACAGCGTCCTCTTCGATACTTGACTAATGACATTTAACCCCCATTACCAAGCATCATACCATACAATCGTTTTTTAATGTTGCAATTGTCATTCATTCAAAAACAAGTTGCAATTGTCATTAGAGTGTCATTTGGTTTATCATGTTTATATAACACAATTCCAGTCGAGTCTTTGATCGCGCAGAAATTGCAGCATATTAGAAAACTTGTTTAAACAAATTAAGATTCTAAATGGATCAGGATTCAGGAACAATAAAAAATGGATTAGAGAGAAGTAAACTAGGCCACAAAATACAGATCTTGCCCATCATAAACCAGCCCAACGAAAATTCGTATCTTCTAAGCAATATTCATTCTACAAGTATATCTCTATCATTACTTAAAACCCAACATGATGAAAGACAATAAAATTCTCTTGAAATTGTGTCCGTAGGAACTGTCGATCTGGAAATGTCTGTATCGTTAGCGCATGATTCGAGCTTATGTCACATTGTCTGTGCAACTTGTAAGTTATAAACGAATGTATGATGAAATAGTGGTTACTGTTGGTTAGTATAGTAAATTCTGTAAAACCTAATGGAAAAAAATCAAAGTGTGGGACCGATTATTCACATGTTACGTTGGTACTTTGTCGGGAAAACATGAAATATTTCCCAAAAGGGGCCTTACACTTTTCCGCCTATCAGTGCTATCACCTCACCACGCCACACATACATCAATGATAAATCGCATTTATATTAGAGACTTTCGTTCGCTGTTATGTTCCACAATTAACTTTTGATCTAATTTCATTTCAAATTGCACCTTTTTCTTTATTAAATATATGCACTATCAGTCAATTATCTTTACCTTTTCTTCCTTTTGATTTACATCATCCTACAAAGAAAACAAAAATTTAGGTTTATATCTTCAATATTCTCTAACGTCTTACTGAAGTATATGTCTGAATGATGGACCACCGAAAAGTACATAAAAAATATTAACACCATCTTACTTAATCCGAAGCTGCAATCTGACACTCGCAACTCGGTTTTAACCAATTCGTACTAAGATTCGTCTTTGTATTTCATCGTAACAAAAAAAAAATCCGAAGCTGCAATCTCTTTCATTATCATCCACAAGGCACTATAGTCAAAATGTAACAACTAATAGTCTCAACTAATACAACAACAAGACACCGTGATTCAAATATTGATCAACCTTTTTGACAAATTGTACTCAAGACTTTCTTTAAATAGAATAAAATCAATCTCTATAGTATTAAATAAATTTACTCATAATACGAAAATTGAATATTATAAAAAAATTACTCCAATATTTCCTCTTCTTTGTCCGTGATTTAAGATGGATGGGAAATAAAAACGTTAAAAACAAAATAATTCTTTGACCGTAGCAGTATCTTTCCCTTTTTAGTTTTTTTTTTAAAATTTCCCATAAAAAAAAAATTTAAAAACTTCACTTAATCCACGCGTAAACAAGTAAAGAGAATCCAAGACCATTGCCGGAACCTAAACCGGAGTTTCCTCCTCCTCCATACTCCGCCTCGTCAGCACTACTAGCCCACTCCATAACCGACGAGCTACAAGCCGACGAAGCGGAAGACATAGAGATCGACGAAGAAGAAGAACTCCTCTTACTCTTAACAAACCTCCTCTTCATCTTCCTCCACTCCACGATCCCTTTAATCCCCAAGCTACTCCCACACTGCTTCGGCTTCCACAAAACGACGCCGTTTTCATCTTTCTCCCTCTCTTCCTCTTCCCTCCTCTCTTCAGGATCGCTATCGAATCTAAACATAAACACCGCGTGACCTCCGTCTCCACCAGAGGCTTTACTCTGAAACAGCCAATTATAAACGTCCCAAGAGATCTGAACATGAACACCGTCGATTTCGACTCTCTCGTTCCCTCGAAACTTCCACCTCAGCCGTTTGATCTGCAACACCTGCTTCGAATCGACGCTGAAGCAAAGCCGCGCGTCCTCGTCGACGCGGCAATCGATCGAAATCACTCGAATCTTACCTCCGAACCTCGCTTTCGTCGAGAAAACCCTAGCTCCGAACACGTGCTCCTTCCTCAGCAACAGAGCCTGCGGATTCGTCGGCGGTTTCGCAGATTTGACTCGCGCGTAGGCCTCCTTGACGGAGTCTCCGACTAGGAGCGCCATCTCTCCGTCGACGACGACGGCGACGTAGAAACCGGATCTAGGCTCGGATCCGGAGTCGAATTTGGCGCGGGTGAAGTCCCAGAAGAGGTGGATTTTGGGGGAGACGGATCTGGATCCGCGTTTGCGCCAGAAGGCGAGTGTGTTGAGGTTGAGGTGGAAGGAGAGGGAGGAGGAGAGGGAGAGGTCGGCGGAGGAGAAGGAGAGAGGGGAGGAGCGGTTGTAGTAGTCTTGTGAGTGGAGGAAGAGGTTTAGTGAGTGGCCTCCTAAGAAACTGCGTGACCACGTTAGGTAGAACACGCCGTGGTCCGTTTGGTATAGGCATGTTGTTAGGTTCGGATCGCCGGAGACTAAAGGGGACGGTGATTGAGTCGTCGGCGGAGGAGGAGGAGGAGGAGGGTGATGATCGGAGGTTGGGCGGAGCCATGCCGGTATGTTGCGAGTAGGAGACATTTTTTTTTTCTTTGGAGAATTATAAGAAAGAGGGAAGAGAGATTTTTTCGGGAGATGTATTGTGAGGTTTTTCGATGGGGTTTTTATTACTTTCCTTTTTTATTTTTTTTTTCTCAGAGGGGTTTTATTATAATAATAATGATAAAATGGAATGGTTATAAATGATGTTGAGCTCGAATCATACGTAATGAACAATGGATGCAGGCTGCCAGAAAATAATAAAAAGTAGATAGAACTTGGAAGTTTCAACTTGGACATGAACTGACTTTTTCAAACTTGACTTTCTTATTAGTGGGATGATGATAGATAGATTCAGCTAATACACATATTCATCTCCCTTGTTTGTCGTCTGTAGAACACGGTTTTAACTCTAACCTATCTGTAAATTTTGTAGCATTGATTGTTTTTATTTATAACCCACCAAGTCACCAACACTATAGGAGTTAACAGTATAAAGTGTGTACAAGATTAGGGTCCCTAAAACATTGTTTAACTATGAGGAACATGATATGATAACTGCATGCACACTTGATTCTTCATTGGAGAACATAATCAATAGTTTATCAATGATTTCACATTATAGAACCTAAAAAGTGATTGAAATTTTAGAATGCACTATTCTATTTAGTATCTAAAATATCTGCACTTGTAATAATACTCACTAGTGTTTGATACGGGGTTTATTTACATCTAATTGTGCTTAAACTTTTATTAAATTGGTATTATAGTGGTATTGACGACCGATTAGATGCTAATCTTATATCATCTTTTATATCACCTTAGTTTGATATTTTTGTTCTCTAGTCTCTATTACTAATCTCGGAAGGCAATTTATGATGCATCCCTTCTGCTGCTGAGAACACAAATAATTGGTTCGGTCGAATAAATAATACTATCGCTTATGAAAACATCGTTTTCAATTTATTTAATTATTTTCAAGTCGTATTTTATTGCTTTGTCGAGTTATTCGGAAATCGGATACGTTGGCGGACAGCTAAAAGGAGCTGGATAGGTACTCATTGCGTCAATGAAAAAGGCATATCCGTATTATTAATTTGATCTTTTGTTACAACTGTATAACTTAATCATCTTATATAATATAAAAACAAAATGTGTGCTCGAAACTTTAACGCCAAGAAAGTAAAACTGTAATTTAGAAGCAAACCAATTTATTAACTAAAGATCTAGCGTAATTATGGCACGAAATTGTTTATTTCCACTTGCCAGACTGCCAGTGTATAATAAATCTCGCCTGTACAAACATGTGGATTGATCTAAACGATTTTGGGATGATACAGCAAATACTATTTACGACTAATAAATATCACACAAACTAATTGTTTTATGATTTACATGTTCATTATATTAAGAAACTCGTTTTACAATCTTAAACTGGTAAACTCAACCTTTTACATCAGTTAAAACAAGTTGTTGTGTAGAAAAAAACACGATTTCAAGAGCTCATATTAAGATGATTCATATCATTCTTGTTGGTACTAATTAAAGATGATTCATATTCCAGAAGTTTATATTCATACCGGATTTAGATTAGAAAAAACAGTGTGTAATATAATGAACATGTAAATCATTAAGCCTAAGGGTTTAACAGTAGCACTTTTGTGGATAAAGAGTACAGATATATTTTAAAGGGATAGAGGAGCAAATAAATAATAAAAAAAAAAAAGATAGATGAGTGTTTTCATGTGTAAGAAAAGAGGAAGTTGAAGAATCAATCATTTATAGATTTTTGTTACAAGTAGATACATTTTATACGTTTAAGGACTAACAAAAAAAAAAGAGTAAGAGAACGATGAAGAGAAATGGTTGACTGAAGTTTTATCGTGTGGGAGACTTGAGACTAGGTCAGTTTGAAACAACAACACGCATTTTTAGTATTCAACGTTTCAATAAACTCCTCTTCCTCTCTCGAGTCTCACCCTTCGTTTTCTTAATAGACTGACGACCCCTTCTTAGATTCTCCTCCCAGCTTTTTTGAAATACATCTTTTTATCAGACCCACTTCATTAATATCTTTGACTAAATGACATAAAAAAGATAACATATACGACAATGTTTCTATTATAGTACATAGACCATTTATTTTGTATAAGTATAGTAGCTAATTAAACATTGTTTCCATGTAGGGTCTTTCACTAACTTGGAAGCTTTTTAATTTATTTGCAGTTTCACAATAGTGTATCTATGCATATTCGTTTTAAAGTCTACTTTATTGTTTGTTTTAGAAAATAAATTATTCAATCGGCGGAATATTAGCTGCGATGTAGTAGCTGAGTTTTCGGACTATGGCGGTGGGACATAGCAGGTTTGGTGTCTCGAAAGTCATTAGTTTATAAATATAAATACGTAAATGTGAACCACTTATACCACCAAAAAAAAGAAATGTGAACCACTGCATGATCTGCACCAAACAAGAAGAGGGAGGGTCCCACCACGTAGAAATATTCTTCACTTGGGTGATCAACAGAAGGTGTCCAACGAATTTCAAGCTTTAAGTGCTTCTTCGACGGCGGTCTAAGACGGTTGTTCGCTTTTGGCGGTGGCGTCTCCGATGACACGTGTGTCACGTTTCAACTTTTTCCTTTCGTTTATGAGCTTAATGGGTTTAAATGTTTTGGATCTGTATCACAAAACTTGTAATTTTCCTGGCCCATTAGTGGCTTTAATAAAAACGAATTGTTAACCGGGTCGGTCTGGATTAAGTTACTGGTTTAGGTCAATTCCGGTTCGGTTTAAGCACTTAAATTTAAAACTTCAAAACCCTATTGTTTATAATCTCGTTTCTTCTTTTTCTCAGGCGGCTCCAAATCGCCGGTAAGTAGTTATTCTCCGGCTGCTTCCAGTTTCGCGCTCTCTGTGATATATATAGCTTCTGTTGTGATTCTTAAGTTTGGAAACTGCACCTCGATTACTCGGATTATGAATCGAACTTGTTGTTATGTTTTAGCTGTTGAGTAGAGTTTTGGTTGTGTTTGGTAATGGTTTAGGAGAAGATGAAGTTTGTGTGTTGTTATGGCATAGCTTCAACCCTTTTACTAATTGGCTTTTTTTTATTTTATAAAATTGAATTACTCATAGAAGGAAAGGTTAAATAGAGCTGCACATATAGAAAAGGCGAGTGGAGAAGGTGTTGACTGCAATGTGGGAACCAGAAAAGAAACCACTTTTGATACCAGAGGAATGGTCTGATGCAGCAAGTTCTGTTTCCTGCAATTCGTTAAAACCGGCTGTAGCTTTGGTCTGTGGTCCTAAAGACAGTGGCAAGAGTACATTCTCCCGTAATCTTGTTAAAGTTCTTCTCCAAAGGTCATTGCTTTATCTACTATTCGTTTTGTTATTATGGTTGAAGATTGTAACAGTTGTGTGTTTACAGATACAAGAGGGTTGCTTATTTGGACATTGATGTTGGTCAGCCTGAATTCACTGTACCTGGTTTTCTTTCTCTCACAGTTGTCAATAAATCAATTCTAGGTACCTTTCTCATACTCATTTTTTTTTTGCTGTTTACTACCTTCTTGAAACTTGTTTTTATTACATTCTTTTTCCATCACTTATGTTATTCAAATTCTACTTTCTAGACTCGGATTGGACAGGTCCATGTATAATTGAACCGGAGAGGTACTTTAGTTTGGTTGAGATTCTTAGATTTTGTAGCACCGAGTCTTTGATTTAGTTACTAAAGTCATGTGTCCTCTTTTTTTCTCTTTGTTTAATGATGTAGATATTTCTTCTATGGTGATGATTCTGCAAAGAGAGATCCAAAGGCTTATCTGCAGTTTGTCTATACCTTGTTTGATTACTACCAGCTACACTTCTGCAAGTCTAGCGAGAATAAGACTGAGTTACCTCTTGTCATTAATACACCAGGCTGGGTTAAAGGTAAACTCTCTCTCTCTTTTATCTTTTCAAAACAATAGGATTTTGATCTAATATTTGTTCATTTGTTTTTTCCCCACTAATATTATGATTATGATCTTTAGGTTTAGGTTATCATGTATTGGTGGACGTATTGAGATATGTTTCTCCCTCCCATGTTGTGAAAATCATGTTGAAAGACCCCACAGAAAGAACTCTCAGCAAGAACCTTCCATCTGGGTTGTTCTGGTTAGACGGTTATCATGATGAGATACCTCATTTGATAGAGATTCAATCTGCTTACAAAGTCAGTTTCAAGCGAACGTAAGTCCTGTACAAAAGCTAGTTTTTTCGATTGTTTCATGTAGTTTTTAAAGCTTTTGTTGTGTATTCTTCTTGTACAGTGCAGCAGAAAAGCATTTTCGTAGTATGATGAGGGATGCGCGTATAATCGCCTACTTCAAGCCTTGCATTAAAGGAAAAGAAGTAGACACGGACAAAGAGCTATCCCATGAACTCGCTTCCCTTGTTCCTTATGAGGTTCCAGTATCGAGTGTAACAATCAGTCATCTACATTGCCAGGTAAATTTAACTATATGAAAAGTTATGTTTTCTAATATGTTTGTCTGATGCCATTCTTTTTGTATCTTTCTCTCGCTAGATCCCAAGTTCAGAAGTGTTTTATAGTTTGAATGCATCCATCGTTGGCTTGGGGATTAGCTCGGAGGTGTTTGAAGATTTGCCTTTATGCGTTGGTCTTGGTATGTTGCTCTTATCTGTGTATGAAAAGCTTATTCAATCTGGTTTTATGGTTATTTATGATTAAAAGTGGCTTTGGATTGTGAATAGGAATCGTGAGGGGTATAGACATAGAGAGAGGAATCTTGTATGTGATCACTCCAGTTGCAGAGAATGTAGTTGAGAAAGTTGATCTTCTATGGCAAGGCTACATTCAGTTACCTACTAGTCTTTTGGGAGTGAAAGATCACAGGTCTCCTTATCTTTCCCCCTATGTCTTAACTTCCACCTAAACTTCATCTTCTTTTAGAGACTTTTATTACTCAATTTTTGCTGTTTGCTACCATTATGTATCATCAGTTTATCTAATACCAAGTTTCAGTTTTGTTTAAAAAAAAATTGGTCAGTATCTCATTATCTAACCAAAGACAATATTTTACTTTCTAATTAGAATCTGTAAAGATTACAATACGGAGCATAACTGAAAGTAATGATGTAAATAATTCTAAAAAAGAAGTCGATATCATTTACATAACTGAGTTCAACATTGATAGGAAATAATTTTTGTTGAAAGGATACAAAAGATGAAAGAAAAACTCTGCTACGTTCCGGTTAAGAACTTCCCAATACAATATATACACATCAAAACCACCTACCGGGTCAATCTTAAACCGATTAAAAAAAAAAACGGTTCTATGATGTGTTTAGCAGTGATCCATAGAAGCAGATCTTCTGATGGTTTTCAAGGTTCCACCAAGTTCCATAGAAACCAAAGGTATAAGAGAATGCAAGACGTCTGTTATTAAAGGTCTATAACTCGGTTCTGGCTGCACACACAAAACCGCCACTGCTGCTACCTACACATTTGCATCACAACTCTTTAGTCTATATCTCAAAGCCAACCACCGCTCTAGAATTTGTGCAAACTTACCTGGTAAAGATGTTTCAAGTCCATCGTATCTTTAATAGCGGGATCTACTACGTTAGGTAACTTGGTTCTATCAGTGAGATAAGGCATTGCCTGAGAAGAAAGACAACACAAACCACAATTCAAGATTCCAAGTCTAAGAGAGTTACAAGGAAAGAATAATATGAGACTGTATAAATATATGTACCCAAGTGATGATGGATTCACATTCACCAGGACCTAACTTCTCAACAGGTTTTTTCCCAAGTAAAAGCTCTAATAACACTACTCCAAAAGCATACACGTCACTCTTTTCTGTCAATTGGCCTATTCATTTATATAAAACATACACATAAAGTTATGGTAATGTGGAAGATGCATGCTTATCATAAGACAGATTATCATTTCAGGGTTTACCGTCGAGAAGATACTCTGGTGCAACGTATCCAACTGTTCCTGAGAGTTTAAGGTTCTTCTTCTTTGGTCCATTAACAACAGCAAGACCAAAATCTGAAATCTACATTTTTCATAAACATGTAGCGCTTGAGATCAAAATGATATTGAAAACATTATCATTTTTAACGATTGATTTGTTACCTTAGCATTGAAATTACAATCCAATAGTATGTTTGACGATTTCAAGTCCCTGTGAATGATCGCTGGATGGCAACGTTCATGTAAATATTCTAGTCCCCTAGTTGGAAACACACACACACACACACACACACACACACACACAAGCAATAGTTGTTTAGTAATCTACATTGTCGAAATTGTTGTGTAAACACACAAGAAAGCATAGCATGTTTAGTACCTCGCTATGTCAAGAGCAATCTTCATCCTCATAGGCCATGTGATTGTGATTGCAGAACCTCGAGAAGATCCTGAGTAACAAGTACACATGAACATAAAAGTTTAAACTCTTCAGCTACTTTGACAAGAATAATATGTCAAGAAGTCTTTTCTACCGTGCAAGTGAGATTCCAGAGAGACATTTGGCATCAGCTCATAGACGATGAATCTTGCAGTATCATTAGTGCTATAACCCAATAAGGAGATTATATTCGGGTGCTGGATCTTACTCAATATCTCAACCTCACACTGCAATTCTCCAAAGCATAAAAGCAAACTTAATCACAGACAAAATCAAACTAATAATATGACAGAGTTTCAAGATTGTATTGCACCTTAAATTCCTTGGCTGCTTCATCACTGCCACAGTCTAGCTTCTTAACGGCAGCTTGAACGTTGTTCTCTAGTGTAGCCAAATAAACGCATCCAAATCCACCTTGACCCAAAATGTTACTCTCATTGAAACCATTAGTTCCCTTCTCTATCATACTGTAATCAATCAAAGCCACCACTCCCTGCTTTGTAGATCTCTTGTCCAGTGTTTTTGAGTGATTAGACCGATTCAAGAAACGTGAGAATGTGATTCCACCACACTCGCAGCCTTCAAAACACCAAAATGGAACAATGTAAGGTGTAAACACACATACACAATAATCCAAGATTCAGTACATTCATAGACAACTTTCTCAGCAGCTATCAAGACTCATCTTGAATTTCAACTTGAAGGTTAAAGAACATGAACAAGAGATGTGGCGTAAGAGGAATTACCTGAGCTCTTGAGGTTTCTTCTCCTATGGAAAACCCAATAGAGCAGAGAGCAAACTAAGATGATTCCAACTAAGGAAAAAGAAGCTACAAGTGAAATCACCAGTCTCATGTTGTTATCACTATGTTGTTTATGCTCTCCCTGTTGATATCCTGATCAAACCATACCAAAACGAATTAGCTTTTCTTTCTTTCTTTCATCAGTTTCAGGTTTTTTTTTCTTTATCCAACTAAAAACCGCATTAAACCTTTCATCAGATTTCAAGAAAATTTGCAGACCAAGAAGAGAAATGGTGTGAAAAGTTCCGAGCTTTACGGCGAGAGAGATAAGCGTTACAATGAAAATTTCTTGTGACTCAGTGGAGAAAATTCCCCCAACCACAAAGCTAAAATCTTTTTTGCAAAGAAAGTTTGGAAAAAAATATACTTTCTACCAAAAAGATGAAAGTTATAACGAACAAAAGAAACATAATCATTAAAGGCATAGGTGAGCACGAGTAGCTAGAATCTGTTTTCTCCTATAAATCTAAAAAGCAAATTAAAAGAAAAGAAAAGAGAAATGAGTTTTTTTTTTTTACCAGGAGATAAGGCAGGAGTGAAAGCAGAAGAAGGTTGAGGAGCAAGAGATTCTTCTTGTGTGTTGAGGAACACAACAACACATGTGGATTTGTGAAGAAGAACAGAAGCTTGTAGTAAAACAATAGCTGTAATAACATTTTGCTTCATTTCTTTGTTTCTTTTTTCTTTTTACCTTATCTTTATAAAAATTTAAATTTCAAAAAAAAAAACACACCAAGAATTATTCAGACAGCTTTGTTTAAACTCGTTTTCAGACAAGAGAAACTGTGTAGTTCAAGAGAGACGAGGAAGAGAGAGAATGTGTTTGAAAGTTTTGAGAGAGAGAGAGAGATGTTTGAGAGAAATATTCATTTTCTTATTTAACCATTGTAGAGAAGTTCTCTGCAAGGAAATAGTTAAAAAGAAAGAGACAAAAAGGATTCGGACAAGAGAAATATTAGAGAGGTGGAGCAGTTTACCATATGATTATCAGAAATTTCGTCCGCTTAGAGGAACAAATATTTTGGTAATAAAGGTTATTAACTAATATATGTACACTAAATATATACATACCTTGCCTATACCGTGTCAATATTTATTGTATAATAAAATGCTAGAGACTGTTTTGGTATAAAGGTATTCATTTCTTTACGAATTTACATACATACACGTTTGAAAGTGAAATGTATAAGAAAATAGTGAAATTTCTATAACTTAATAATATTGAGAATATATCAAAATTATATTTTTTATTAATTTATAAAAATTATTAATTTATCGATATATTATTAAATCAAAAATTCAATTTAAAAATATAAAATTATATTATTTTATAAAAAAATTTAGTATATATTAATTTATAGAATATCAATTTAAATAGGTTATACTGTAGTAATCTTCTAGATTTGACTTTTTAAGCTTCATCATTATTAAAAGTTATCAAATAATTTAAGCAGAAAAAGTTTTTGTTGTAGAATATAATAAACTTAAAAATGCGATGATGAATCTGCTTCTATTTATTCACCCTTTACGATAAAAAAAACTGCTTCTATTTATGTCTGAAAAAACTAAAAAAGCTTTTTATTGCTCGATGATGTATTTTCTTTGCACTTTCAGTTATATATAAAGTTAGCAGTTCATGATGTTATAAAAAAATAAAATAAAGTTTGCTGTTCCTTTTTTTTTTTGGGTCAAAAGTTAGCTGTTCAAAAAAAAAGTTTTTAAAACTAACGATGGGTATCAGTCCAGGATATGACATGGCAACTATCCATGTGGAGACCACTGAACGTCGATCTATGTTATTAGACAGTAAAATAACATTTGTTTTGTAGATTTTGAAATTACGTAACCTTTTGTTAAATTGACAAAAGCATGTACGCAGGTACTATTCGTTATCATTTTATTTAATTATTAAGTAATCCCTCCTTTGTATTAACTATTAAGTAATCCCTCCTTTGTATTAATGGAATGTGCTACAATACATATACAAAAAGATAATTTTGCAGTAATATATAGTATTTGGCTTGGAGTTGGACTTTCTGGTGGACATGGGAATATTATCAAAATACCAAATTAGTCGCTATGTAGTTAATTAGATTTCAAAATGCAACTACTTTGACGATGTTAGGTGAAGAATGGTTTGTCTTGATAAACTATTATGGGACAATGTTTCTAATTATTCATATTGCTTTCTCCTTATATATGTACAAGAAACATCTCGTTTTCTTTTCTTTTTTTTATCAAACATCTCGTTTTCTTTTCTTTTTTTTATCAAACATCTCGTTTTCTTTAATCTTACATATCTTAATATTTTTTTTTTAATTTCCGTGTAGCATGTGTAGTGTTTATGACATAACTATTCTTCATGGACTTTAATTTGAAGAATAATCAAATTATCGAGATTTAACTTGGAATAAATAAAGTTGCAGGAAAATGGATTTTTTGTAACACGATTTTTCTTGACAAAACTGTAGGGCTTGGGAACTCTCTGCATACAACATGGAGCATTCATTTGCATAGTTCCCCATGATTTTTTTTTTAATACTAAGAACTTTTCAACCTTTCTTCCACGAGCTCGATGCACCAATATAGAAGCGATTCAATTCGGTTAAGAATGCACAGAATCTCATGTGAGGATTCCTGGTCTTGATCCTTCTCGCGGTGGTTCTCTGCGATGCTGCCGCTCACAATAGTTCGGAGAGGTAAAAGCCATCCCTTATAGTCTCTCTCCATAGTCTTCTTTGACAAAAATCCTATAATTTAATCTCAAGTCAGAAAGCACTAACAAGAACAACATAGAATATCTCATAGTTTCAAATACTAACTCTAGAAAATTTAAAAAATCAGGTTTCCTCAAATTACTTGGGATGAAATGAGATACAACAGCAAAGCACAATTCAATATGAAAACGTTCGAGTTAAAAAAGACTTTTACCTTTCGAATCATTTAACAATGCAAACCTATAGAGGTTCAGTGCTGCCATAACCTGCGCAAACACAAAACATTATTTCATGATGTTACCAGAAATGCTAATCTATGTCCCCCTCTCAAAGCAATTACCTTAAGCCGTATTATTACATTGTCTAATGATGCTCACAAGAGAGAACCGAAGATATATTAATCTTAAAGTAGAAATGATATAGGAATGAACAAATTTACCTCATCACTCTGGTCCGGGAAGAGTGGAGGACCACCATGTGGGGGCTTTAAGACCAACTCCACTAGCTCAGTAACATGAGTTTCACAGTCCGTAGCTTGCAAGCTGCTTGTGCTCATGTTGTTTTTTACTTGATCCAGAAGGATCCCTCTCTGTGTGTATTAGCAAAACAATATTAGTTCAAACGGGATAACGCTTTTCTTATAAAAGAAAATCAGGACTACAGAAGACATGCTAAACTATGCAGTTTACTATGAATGCATGCAAATATGTATCTTCATAGTCAATTAGTCATCATCTCTGTGAAGTTTTTACATGCTTTAGTGTTAATAAAGTTCAAGGGGATACGAAAGTACTAACCATTGTGGAAGACTGGGAGTTAGTGATGAGGGCTTTTAAAACGTCAAACCTCTGAGGAACTGGTATATCAGAAATAATCTAATCAAGCAACACAAAGAAAAAGATTAGTAAGATGAGATATATAATCATCTCTGTTTAAATTTTAAACAAAAAAAAAACCCGAATAAATAAATAAAAGAAGGTAATTAGAAAGAAAGAAAAACAGGGCACCACTCTGTGTCAAAATGGCTAAGACCTAGTCAGCACACGTGATTATAGTCAAGGTTTACTTACCCTCTTTAGTGTCTCAAATGTCTTCTTCCTCAGATCAGTGTCTGGAGCATACATGATAACTAATGTAACAGCCTGGGAGAAATAAACAAGAAACTTAGACTACTTCTAAACCTGAAAGATGTAAAAGACTAAAGAGATTAGATATTATGCCTGTAAAGCAGCGTAGATGCTAGTTGTGTACTGCGAACAATCTACTTGCTCGTTGCATTGAGATGGAGTTACTCCTTTAACTATCTCAAGCAAAACCTCAACAGTGTGTTTCTTGAATTCCCAAAGCAAATCTCCAGAAGCGAGTATGTATTTCAACATCCCATACGCTTGCCACCTTTTCACTGGATTGCTTTGAAGCTCATTTACATCATTAGCAGCATCTGCAATCTGAGATGAGATCCTTGCCCAGATGAATAGAAGAGATGCACCCAAATTGATGTCACGGAAAGAATTGAGGACGTCATCTTCATCATCATCTGTTTCAAAATACAACCATGAGAAAAAGAAGTATTGATGGAGATGAGAAATTAGGAAGTAGTAAAGACTAACCTTTCGAAACAGTGCTTAGTAACCTTTCAGTGTCGCTTTCAGTGATTAAACCAAGGTGTGTTAAGCCACAATATGCCAATAAAGGTTTTAACTGCATCACCAGTGGAACACCAGAGTCCACCTTGTCTTTCATGCTAACTGAAAGAACAGCCTACAAGACAAGATCAAATCCTCAAGTACTGAAAGAACGATTCAGAATATAGATAGAAGCAAAGTTTAAATTTAAGTACAAACCGTTATCTGCATCAGATAGAGACCAAGCAAACAACGGACTTTTGTGCCTTCTTCCTTCTCCTGTAAAAAACAAATAAAAGCGATTAAAAGACATGCAAGTGGAATATTTAAATCAGAGAATGAACACTTTAGATGGTGATTTAAGGAATCCCAGCCAATTTTGTCACACTCACACACCAGTTTTAAAGCAACATCTTTAATGGAAACGGCAATGGCTAGAGCCTTATCAAATAGACCTTCAACTTGCATGTTTGGCTCCAACGACATGTCCTTCAAAACGTTCAAGACAACTGGAACTGCCACTTTTAGCTGCTCGTAGTGACGTCTCCGAACAGAAATAAGAACTGAAACAAAATATATTTGAACAACTTTTCAGAGCTTCAGTTTAGGTGTCAAGATAATATTCACTTTGAAGACAGAGTATAAATATCTCAGAAAGTGAAAATCTTCAGTTTAATACCTTTAGAGAGCCCATGTAATAAAGGAGTAGAAGAACTGGAGAGTGAAAGAGAGACCCGTGCAGTATCTAGTGCCTGGTCATTCAGATTCATAAGGGATTTCAAATTGACAAAAATACTCAACCATTACAAGAACTTGTTATCTTCTTATTCCAAATACCAAAGAACCAATAAATCAACTTATACTGTAATAAACTAGCCTGATGATAATCCAATCCCAGATCTAATATACCTCACAAAGAACTGAAAGCATGTCCCGTGGATTGCATGCTTCCACAAACCAATCAACGATAACCTCAACTAACTCTAGACATTTGCTTGATAGTCCTGCAAACTTGGAGATAACTTTTGGCAACACAAATGAAAGTGCATCTATCACATCCTGAAACAATATGGATTTGAAGAAAAAATCCATAAGTTTAAATCAAAACTTGTAAAGGAAAAATCCTTTTGGCTGTCAAAGAGATGATAGAAAAACTACCTGGTTCACCCGAGGAGATGATAAAAATTTCAAAATTTCATCTAAAACTTGTATAACATCATTCTCATGATCATCGTCTCTGCCATTCAAAGTTACATCATTCTCATGTTCATCATCATCACTAGCATTGGAAGCTAAGTTCTCGGACAAAGAATTCAGACAGTCTACAAGCTCTGACACCAAGCTCTCCAAGTCCTGAGATTCTCCAACTTCAACTGACTGAAAAAACACACAAAGGTCAATACTTTGAAAGTAAAAAAAAAGTAACAGAACTGGTTCCTCTAGACAATACATAAAACAAAGAGTTCAATCAAATCCTATGTGAAAGTTTGTTTTTTTTTCCAATAGCCAGGAGAAGATGTTAAAGAAGCTTACACTTAAGCTCAAGTCTAAAAGCTCTCGCACA